AGTGGGTCAAAAAGTAGAACCAATCATCGTCATACCAAGTGGTATGTTGTTAACCTCATAAGTTGTATTGTGCTGTTACTAATTTAGTCTGGGTTTACATTTAGTTGAGGTGATCAGAGTATCAGCACAAACAAGCACATTTCTTATTTATGAGAATGATACTTTTGTCCATTTTCCTAGTGATTATAGGAAATCATACAAAAATGTACTGGGCCCTTCTAGTCAGCACCTCTCACCTGAGCAGAAGAGAACCATAGTCTGTGCTCCTCCGAGCTTTAGAAGGCCTCCCACATCGGCACTACAAAACACTGTACTAACAGGTAGAGGGAGTGGCGATTCTAGTAACACTGAACTGGATCCCTGTGGCTGGAGACCAGGTAGCTGGAAAGCGGAGCTTGTATGTCAGGGGAGGAAAAGAGCACAGTCTGTGCCCTGGGAAGCCAGAGGATGACTGGTGCTTCACCCCCCCAAGTGGACAGGTATGAGCAGTCATGAGCATCCCAACATGCTACCATCTGTCCTCTGCACCTCCCGCAGTGCTCCTGCACCTGGTGTTGCCTGCCCCCAGCCAGGCTTTCTACCCACAGCTGCCAGAGCTGCCTTTTTAAGATGCGCCTCTGATATTGTCGCCCCACCATCTGAGATCCTCCGTCCTCCTCCCCCTACTTGATCTTGACATGGAGGCCAGATGCCTAACTCGGCTTCCAGGATGCCACTTGACCTGTCATCTCTTTCCATCACCTCACTCTTGAACTTCCTCTCTCTCCAGTCTCTCCCCATGAACTCTGCACTTCAGCCCTCAAGGCTTTCTTTCATTTCTGCAAAGGGAAGAAGGCCTGCCTTGCCCTCCCTTGCTTCTGCTTGGGTCACTAGCCACCGCCTTGCCATGGGAAGTGGTGCTGATTGCCTGCGCCCCGCCCACCTCTTTGTGGGAGGCTGTCCGCTCCTCCTCCACTGCCCTCTTTCCTTACCACCGGATTACTTCAGTGACCACTCCTCCCATATCTGTCTCCTTCATTGATAGATCCTGAGCGCTCTCAGGGCAAATACCATCGTGCAAAATGGTAAGTCATGGTTGCCTCTACATTTTAAAGGTATTTGGCAAAGTGGGCTGAAAGGTGAAATTAGCAACAAAGTGGAGCCACTGTTGTTGGGCCAGAGAAGCCCAGGCCGCAGTGCCTAGGACTTCTGCTTCTCCTGTGGCCTCTGAGAAGCCTGAGGGAACCCTCTGTGTTCCACCTGACCCGGACCCCAGGTCTGTGTTTGTCCATGGGGACTGATTATACTTGACCTCGGCAATGATTTAACCACGGGACACCTTGTACTGTCAACAAACATAGATGACCAAAACGTTCGTAGTCCTTAAGATGTATTTGCCTGAGACAGAAATGCCTTTCAGCACTTACAGCACCATACCGTGATTTTTGAACAATGCAGAGATGGCATTTTCACATTAAGTTAAGTAATAGAGAAAGGTATTTGCGCAGTTTGTTTTGTTTTTGGTTAGAGCATTGCATATTTCCTGCCAAAAATATTAACTGCAATACTTTCAGTGTATTCATCCATTTCGGTATTTATCCATATCTGGAGAGGAATAAAAGCTGGATTTGAATGGAATCTTTGTCTTCTAGAAGTGGCTATTTGTGACCCACTCTGTTATCATATGTGTTTATAGTGAGGGTTCTAGGTGATTAAAAATAGTTTTTAAAGCAGTTTTTTAATGTAGTTGGTACATATCAGGTAGTTATGTGCCAGTTAAGTCTGAGAGCTAATATGAAACTGGTATTTGGATCTGATTCAGCACTATTAGGATAGCGTTAAGATTTTGTGATACAGGGACTATTATCCCGGCAGTGTAAGGGATTTTTGTGCTGGGGAGCGGTCCTGACAAAGACAGCACTGTGTGTGCGCCATCCCTCACGGAGCACTTTCACACTGCAGTTTAGGAGGTGTGCAGCTCAGGAAATTGCTGGCTTTGGCTGCAGCGTACTTTAACTGCAAGGAAAATTTTATTCGTCACTCAAGTAATTGGCAGTTTTAATACCTTGTTCATAATTACCTTATAAACAAACGAATACATAAACCAAAGATTGTATGGCCTGGTATCTAACTCAGAGCCATATTTGACTAATGTGAAAGACACCTGTGGGTCCCCGGCTCCCTCCCACAAAAACACCAATTTGCCCCATTTATTGCAGAAATCTGAGGCTGAGCGTTTTCTTGTTGTTGTTGTTAAATATAAGTGTAACTATACTAGCCCAGACAGCCTGGGGGCCAAAACCAGATGCCCAACTTAATGGGAGGTGGTGGCTCGGGAGGAGAGGGGGGTGGGGAGAGGGGCACCTGGGCACGTCAGGGCCACTCCACTGTGGGTGGACATCTGGTGATGCAGACAGTTGGGCTGTGTGTTTAAGACAACATTCTTGTCCCCTAAAGTGCGGTTTTGTTTAACCTACACACCCTGGCCCTGAGGCCCTGTGGCTTGTCTCTTGGACCAGGTCCATCTCCAGGACCTTAAAATTGACTAATTGTCTCACTTGCATTACCCTGTACCTCACAACTACATCAAGGAGTCTATATACTGGCCAATCCAGATGTGGGAACTGGCCAAAATCAGAGGTCATGGCTGACTTGACTCTAAACAAAGTCCGTACGGCTTTATGGGAATTTCAGGGCTTCATATTTGTGACTGGTACATGGAGATGCTAATTCTGGTTGGTTTGTTGTTGTGGTGGTTGTCTTTTTTTACCTTACTGTTATCAGGAAGCTCAGCTCCTCCATCTGCATCCCCTTGTTATCTTGTATAGATAGCATTACTTTAACGTAAGGCTAGATTCTCAGATGACTTGGATTACAAAAGATCCCCCCACAGTCCTTAAAGGTAACATAGGGAGGATTTTAACACTATTTTGAGAAGCTTCCTTAGTTGTTTGCTTAGAGACTTAACACCCTTATTCTTCCTTGTGGGGAAGGCAGCCCCTGGCGTGTGCAGGTAATGGGGAAGTCTGCCACTCTGATGGGTGCCAAACACAGGCAGGCCCCTGAGGCCCCTCTTAGCAACCTAGGCTGCATGCACAGCTGGAGGCACTTCCAGGGCTTCCTAAGTGTGGGCATGGTGGAGGCTCAGTGAGCCAGGGTGGAGCCCCACATTAGTTTGAAACCAGAAGTGCAGCACTTCCACAAGAGTGGGAAGTTGCAGGCATTTCTTGAGGTGAGTGTCCTCATAAGGACTTACTGGCAAAATATCTTTGCAACTGTGTGCTATGAAACAAGATTTCAGGGATTGTTTTGGGACCAGTAACCAGTAAGGACTCACTCTGTGAGGCACTTTGGGAGTATTTGGACTATTAGATTAAAACCTCTAATTTCCTAATTTTAAAATTAACTGTGATACCTGTACCAGAGAAAGGTTGTCACGATTAAATGGTAAAGGCATGTATGGAAAAAATGCTTAGCATAGGGCTTGGAATCTCATAATATGTCCTCAATGTGATTCAGTCCTGTACATGTCTGAGACAGAGGAGTAGAGACATGTCCCTGCGTGGAGGGAGCTCCCAGTGTGACAGACAGGACCGTCAGGGTGAGGGCTATGACAGAACGCCACACAGGCTTTGCAGAAATACGTTACAGTTGGACCTAACTCAGGAACCTTCAGAGCTGGTGAGAGGCTTCTGAGTTACAATAATGCAGAAGAGCTTAATAAACTCAGAGCACAGAGAAAGGCATCTATTGGGAAGAAAGGTACAAACAGGAAATGGATTTCCTAGGTTTTCACATCAAGGGGAGGTTAACTACAGATATGTGTAGAAACACCAGCACGTGACTTCTGCAGACTTAGTACACAGAGCCTTCAGGTTGTCTCATCATTTTGGGGTTGGTTGTAAAGAGGCGGCTTTTTTCGTAAACAAACTGTTATCTTCCCAGCTTTTCAACCTGAACACGTTGTCTTCCCCTGCCAAGTGATTGCCTGGAAAGGTAAAGGTCTAAAATGACAATTAAGGTGGCCCACCCATCAGTTTAACTTTTCTCTTCTAGCAAGATGGCCATTTAATGCTGACATCCCCCTTGGAACCTGTTGTATTGATGACCACTTATGAGCTTTGCCTTGGCGCCTCTCTCTCTCTCTCTCTCTCTCTCTCTCTCTCTCTCTTTTTAATTTGTGGTCTAAAGTGCTCACCAGTAGAACTTCTCACAATGGTGGAAGTGTTCTGCCTGTGCACTGTCCCGTTTGACAGCCACCAGGCATATGCGGCGACTGTGACTAAGAAATTGAATTTAAACATTTAGCTTTGATTAAATTTAAAGAGCTTTGTGTGGCTACCATATTGGACATTCTGGTTTGGTGTCAAGACTCTTAGTTAATGTCAGATATTTTAAATCTACTCCCAGGAACTATTTAGACTGGGGTGCTCGTATGTAACACTTTTATACTATTCAGAGCCCTGAAGCGTACATAGTCCCTGGTTTTGAAGTATGTGGCAGTGCTTTGAAACTTGCTATTTCTTAAAGAGATCTCTCTATCATGGCTTTAAAAAGTCCCAATCTGATGAGTATTTTAAGTTCATTGGCACCTGAAGCATGGATACTTTCCGAGTGAAGAATTAGAAATAGATTAGGAATCAACAAGAAGAAAGAGAGAACTAACAAATCAGTGCCTGGAATGCCAGCTTGGTGCTAGGCATTCACACGCCATTTAATAAAAAATGAAAAGGAAGAAGGACTGTTAACAAAATAACAAAGAAAAGTCAGTGTAGGTGCATAGCATTTAGGTAACACACCCAGATTTTTATAGGAATGTTTTTCATGTATTTCTCTGTTATGATGTACTATTTAATTCAAAATCAAAGTGACTAAAGAGGTGCTCTTTAACTTTCAAAAATGCTGTTTAGAGCAATCAGTTTTCCATTTTTCCAGAGAACGAGTCTGGAACAGAGAGTATTTTTCACCTTTCAGATTGTCGTACCATTACCTCTGTTACCTTCGCTGTCCTTTTATTGCAGAGCTGGAAACAAGATTGCTGAAATTTTACCTGAACAGCTGAAACATTTTCAATCCCTGGAAACATTGGACCTCAGCAGCAATAATATTTCAGATCTTAAAACTGTATTTCCCCCTCTGCAACTCAAATATCTGTAAGTCAACTTTTCTTTACCAAAAGTTTTTACCTGTGGTGAAAATGTCATGTTATAAGAAAATCAATTTTAAGATATAACAAACTCTGCCTACTTTTACTGGTGATAAATCAAAAGTATGACTTTCTTACTGATTGATAATTTGCTCTAAGTCTGAATAACCATGATCTTCATTTTACTCTGATACTTTGAATAACAAAAGAATGAGACATCCCTTCTCATGGATGGGATAAGAAAACTTATGGGATGCAACATACTTCTTTTAAAAAATGAGATTAAGCCATTGTCATTTCATTGTTGTTTTATTACTAAGTTAATAAAAATGAAATTAATTTTTAAGAAGTAGATAAGCATCTCTAATACATTTTTATAATCCAGATTTTCCAGTTACTCTTGTCCTGCCAGTGTGTGTGAATCACTGTCAGTACTGGTCTCCAAGGACCAAAGGAGCGGTGATTTACAGTGTCCATTGTTCCACATGGTGGTTAGGTTCTCTGGAGATTCATTATAGTACAGATCATGCGTGCACTCTGTCTTCCCAAAGCAACCAGAAAGAGAATCTCATCTTCAAACTTTCAACAGGTACATGAACAGCAACCGGGTCACATCGATGGAACCTGGGTATTTTGACAATTTGGCCAACACACTGCTGGTATTGAAGCTGAACAGGAACCGAATCGCCACTATCCCACCCAAGATGTTTAAACTGCCCCAACTGCAACACCTGTAAGTAATGCATCTTCTTCAGTAATGTTTCCTCATCTCCTCTAAACCCATGGTGTCTGTTCCCCCAAATCCACAATGTGGCAGAAAGAGTTTAGAAGCAAGGATGTGGCCGTCTTCCCTTTGAGAGCTGGAGTTGTAGAATCGCCGAATCAGAACAAGCCTTAGGGTCACCTAGCACAAGCGCCTGCCCCACAAGGCCTGTCGGGTTGTTACCAGAAGAGTGAACAGTGTAATCATCGAACAACTGTGTACAAAGGTGGCATCGTGGCACAGAAGAAATCCTGGGGACTCTCGATAGCTAGGGTTTATGAGAATAATGCCAACAACTCCAGGAAGCTCTGATGGCTTAAGTGGCTGTAAAGAACTGTCTCGTTAGTATTGGTTGAATGATCTGTGAACAGGCTCCTACAAAATAGTGGTTTTCAGCCTCGGCTGCACATTACAGACACTTGGGGAGCTTTTAAAAATCCCAGTGCCCAGGCCACACCCTGGGCCAATTATATGGGAACCTCTGGGGATAAGATCCAGGCCTCAGTAATTTTTAAAACTCGCAGGTGACTCTGGTGTGCAAGCGAGGTTGAGAATGACTACCTTAAAGAGAAAGCTCTAAACATAAAGAATCGCAAGAGGAACGAACTTTTGTAAGCAGACTGAGTGGGATCAACTTGACCTCCCTGTTCCTGAATAAACCTCATGGTTGAATGTCACATTCATCGTTCTCATTCTGGATAACTTAAAGACAAATATTAATTTGTTTACTTTTATACTGAGTGGACGCAGTTTTGAAATTAAAGTGTAGTCTAGTTTCAGTATTCTATCATTCCAGGAATACATCACACATTTCAGAAGGAAATTCACTTACTGCTATTAAATCAAAAGTTGTATCAATAAAATGTTTAGAAATTTAAGACAATATGTAATTTAACACTGGCTGGTTTCACTATATTGTAATAATTTTATTACTACCTCCAGAATTTGTCATATAAGCTAACTATTTAACTGTAATATCCAACGCAGTGAACTGAACCGAAACAAGATTAAAAACATAGATGGGCTCACGTTCCAAGGCCTTGGAGCTTTGAAGTCTCTGAAAATGCAAAGAAACGGAGTAACAAAACTTATGGATGGAGCTTTTTGGGGGCTGAGCAACATGGAAATCTTGTAAGTGTGGGACATCACAATTCTTATTCAGGTAGCATGACCACTGAAACTTCAGTAGCTTTTATTTGAAATTCTGTGTTAAAAATCTTATAATTGATAGTCATTCATAATTCAGCTTTGTTTTAGGTAAAACGACTTAGAAATTTATAAGTATGTGGTCTTTTTTGCTGATGTCTTCATATAACAAAAGCTAAATGTCTAGCAACAATAGTAATATGTAATAGGTTGTCATCACATGTCCCCTTTGAAGAGACTAGATAATGAACTTTGGATCCTGCTTTTGATTCTCATTGTAAATGTAGGCAGCTGGACCATAACAACCTCACAGAGATTACCAAAGGCTGGCTTTATGGCTTGCTGATGCTGCAGGAACTTCACCTCAGCCAAAATGCCATCAGCAGGATCAGTCCTGATGCCTGGGAGTTCTGCCAAAAACTCAGTGAGCTGTGAGTTGCCTTTTATTCTCCTCAAGTTTGAGAGCAGGGATCATGCCAGAGCATGAGCTTCTTACCACTGATCTGTGAAATTTTCATAACAGTTTCCAAGGTGACAGCTTTTTTTCACATGCAACCTAGTCATATTTTTGTTGTGATAAGTTGAAGCCGACTCTGCTGTTTCGGGTCTGTGGCGCATGGGCTAAAGCAATGATGTTTATTTTCAAATAAAGAGATTTTTTTTAATTACTGGGATTAGAAATGTTTACCTGGGCATTATTAAGGAGGCAGAGTTTTAGAATAAGGATTATTGTGGTTGCACATATTACCTGTCCTTTTTTTTTTTTTAACAAATCATTGTGTTGAATTAGAAAGTAAAAGCTATTATATGTGTTTTTTTACTTTTTTTTTCCTTTTTTCCTTTACAGGGACCTAACTTTCAATCACTTATCGAGGTTGGATGATTCAAGCTTCCTGGGCCTCAGCTTGCTAAATACCCTGCACATTGGGAACAACAAAGTCAGCTACATTGCTGATTGTGCCTTCCGGGGGCTTTCCAGTTTAAAGACTTTGTAAGTTACACATTTTGCTCTCCATACATGAACCTAATTGGTTCCTAAATGTGCCCACTTTTCTCCAAGCAGATTTCCTTTGTTGTGAAGGAAGTGTGTACAGCCTTAGAAGTAGTGTCTTAATCTTTCCCAGATCAGTTTGATTAAAATCGGTCCATTTCATCCAGATGGGTTTCTTAAAGGGATTAAAAAAGACAGTGATCAGATTGTTTGGGTGATTATAGTTGGCCTTCTCAGGATCTCCAGGAAATGGCTAACTGCTCAAGAGGGAAACAATTTTAAGTCCACTAATTTTTATAAAATGCAGATTAAAAATTACCAAGAGCAAAAAGATATACAAAGGCATCAAAGGAAGATGCCTGTTTATCATACCAGTTACATCCAGATTTGATCTCTGTCCAAGAGAAAAAAGAGGGAATTAGATTAATTGACCTTTGAAAAATCTCTCAAACACTAATTTTAATGTTGCACAATGGGCTTGTATTTTTGCACTGTCAGAAACTTTTGCTGTGTTCTCTATTTGAAGCATCACATAATTGAAAGACATACTGTATGCTTTGGCGAACTCCTGCTTGTGTGGTTGGAACAGTGGTTTAAAAGTTTAATGTATTTTTCAGACTCTTCAAGTCTTTCAGGATTTAGTCATCTTGATAGAGGCATTAATAGAGCCAGAGTCAGCTGTCCTGATTTTGGACAAAAACTGAAAATGTTGTGGAAAGAGGGAGAATTTTCTGTCATTTGGAAAGGCGTAGAGAAGATGTGGAATTAGGAGGACTAGACTACAAATCACATGCCACCTGGGTGGTGGTCTTAGACTTCTGAGTGTGTCCCTAAAGAGAATGCTCGTATCTTGTGTTAGCTACTTGGTACCAGTTTTAGTAACATTCCTTTTTAATATTAGGGATCTGAAGAACAATGAAATTTCCTGGACTATTGAGGACATGAATGGTGCTTTCTCTGGGCTTGACAAACTGAGGCGGCTGTGAGTATGAGATTTGCCTCATAATATGACTCATTCTTCGACCTAAAATAAACATTGCATCTTAATTAAGTCAGTTCCACAAGCTTAAAGAGTTTAGAAATAGGCACTTAATCGGGTCGCTATCCTTTGTCATTTCCCGTAATGAGTGCTGTTATGTAAGAAGTGTGTTAATTTGCTTTTCTTCTTTGGTATAAGGGTTTTATTCAGCACTGGTTTCTTTAACTTATTTTAATATCTAGGTAAGAATTTTTCATTGTTTTGTGTGCTTAGACCCTTGAGATATCATTGTGTAAAATTTCAACATTTGAAATTTTTACTATTGCACTCTACTCACAGAAATTTTTAAGTGAAGTAACCTAGTATCTACTGGTAACACTGACATAGGTTCCAAGCAATAAAAACATGCTTAGATTTAGCCATAAAATGGCCCTGCAGATGGCCAAATTTTGTATTTTAAGCCAGTGGTTTTTAAATTGAGTTTCACGTAGCCCTAAACTTCAGTGGATAATAAAGATACTCATGAGTAGGGAGGCTGAAGAGAAATTCTCCACTGTTATCTGCTTCATTTATTAGAGTGCTGAGGAAATTTACTTGGAGTAAAGTTTCTACCTATAGTAATGACTAGCCATTCCTAAAGAGACTTTGAAAGTCACTGCTTTAATTTAGCCATCAGTGTAATTTACTGGTGACCTGTTTTTGCTGGGTTCTCTTTTGAATGCTGTGGAAACCATGCCGAACTGTACTACTGAAGTAGATGGCATGGATACACTTTTACAGACTATTTTGTTTAACTCAAGAAAATAAAGTATTCACAAATGATTTCAAAAGCAGTGCTTTTCATGAGAATTCTATGCCCAAAATGGCTTTTATTAACTGTTCCATTGTAAATTTCTTTTTTCAGAATCCTTCAGGGAAACCGGATTCGATCTATTACCAAAAAAGCCTTCGCTGGTTTGGATGCATTAGAACACCTGTGAGTAGCTGGCATTTAGTTACCCTAAAGGTAGACTAAGACAGGTGTTTACTTATGTGACCTGAAAGGTAAAGCAAACTAAAACATAATTTTGTTGGTGTCCTCCTTGTGCCGTAAAGTGCATTTGCACGTCTGCTTATTCTCTGTCCACCATCCTACCTGTCTGCTCACCTGTCTGTGTCTGTCTGCACATATTTTCCTTTGCCTTGAAGGACATTGCTGCAAATTATTATTGGGTTTTGTTTAGTTATTTTTCTCAAGTAGTGATACATGTTTTTTAAACTATCATTTATGCCCTGGCGGGTGGTTCAGTTGGTTAGAGCATCATCCTTATACGCCAAGGTTGCTTGTTCAATCCCTGCTCAGGGTACACACAATAACCAACCAATGAGTGCATCAGTAAGTGGAACAACAAAGTGATGTCTCTCTCTCTCCAAATCAATAAAAGTAAAAATAAATAAAAAATTTTAAAAACTGCCATTTGGTGTGCACACATAACACATCAGGCATTATGCCAAGGTTTTTATATATAGGCTCAAATAATCCCCACAGTTTCTGAGAATGGCACTTGGAGGAATTAACACTACTTCCAGAGTTTTTGTTAGTTTGTCATTGCTGATGTTTGGTTATAAAATGTACAACCTGCTGTTCCCCCTTTGTTGTCATTTTTCGTGTTCTCTTGCTGCTAACCCATCAGTCAGCAGCAGGCAGAGCCAGGACTCAAACCAGGGGTGCCTGTGTTTTCACGGGTCCCTGCCTCTCACAAGCTTTTGCCTTCACCACCTCCGCCACCGGCCATTCTCAGTGTAACTCCTGGCACACAGTTTTGAAATGACATTTAGGGGCTAAAGTATTTTCAGCTTTAGGAGAGCAAGCGAGGCAACTGTGATAGGAATTGGAACCTGCTTGAGCCCTGAGCCAACCAGCTGCCTATGACTTTGAATATATGTTTTATACTTGTACAGTAGAAGTACAAAACAACATAAATACTTCACTCTAACCAGCAAGGAATGCTTACAGCCAGACATTTCAATATCTAATCTCTTATATAAAAGAAGTTATAATATAAAGTATGCATTGCGTCTATACCCCCTTTGTGCCGTGTGTTGAGAGTGAAGACTTAGCTGTTCTGTGAACCACCTTGCTGCTGTCTCTGGCGTACCTGGTAGGTGGCGGGGGTTGGGATGGCGAGCCACAGTGACCATGTGGCGGTTCAGGTTGTGCAGAATGACTGTGCAGAGCAGAGTTGGGAAGGGCAGAGCAGCACTGCTGGACTTACTGAAACAAGAGAAACACGCCAAAGGCTTTGTCATGGGACCCACTCCATTTCTGGGGAAGTGGCATTGGTGGGTCCGTGGAATGTTAGCCTCTGCTTCAAGTCTCTGAACCTTCTTGCCTCCCCAGCCTCTTTCACTGCCCGTGTTTAGTGCCTTCATTCTGTCTTCATGGTCATCTGTCTCATTCATAGTCCTTTTTGTATACTCGGACCCTTGTAAAGAAAAACAGTAGTAATCATTGTGGCGAGTGCTTTAATTCAAACTGCTTGGAAGTACTAGTTAAAAACAAAACCAGCCCAAAATATTTGCTCGTTGTGTAAATGTTCTGCCTGAAGTGTGTGTTTGTTTTAGCAAGTACATCTTGTCTAAACACTCAACCATCTTTACAGTAGCAAGTTGTGTGTGGCAGAATTAGGCTAGTGATTAAGCCTCGGTTTTGAAATAATTGGGTTCAAATCTTAGCATCCTTTTCCTGCTGAGCAAGATCATAATGCCATCTTTTGGGTTTGCTGTGAGGAATAAATGTAATACTCAATACACATAAATCACTCAACAGTGCATATCATAGCAAGTATTCTATATATGATGTTCTTTTAAAAGCATAATTATGAGCAATTTATTTGTGTACTTAAAAGGTACTAATGGTTAACTTGAATAATGAGAAATTCAATAAAAACAATATAGCAGAATAGCTTGGGCCCTTATGAGTCCAGTAACCTGTAAGTGGTAATGGAAGGAGAATCTCCCACTGTAACAGAACTCGCCTCTGGTGCAGGCACCCGTGTTCTTCAGCGCAGGCTCCCTCGTGGGCTCTGTGGGGGTCGGCCCTCGTGCGTGTCAGCCGTAGAGTGTGTGCTTGGTAAAAGGCATGCTGAGACACAGTTTGCACCTAATGTGTCTGATTTGATTATTTTCAGAGACCTGAGCGACAATGCCATCATGTCATTACAAGGCAATGCATTTTCACAAATGAAGAAACTTCAGCAATTGTAAGCTTTCCTTTTCCTTCTATATTTTCAGTAAAGCAGAGGGGGAAAACCACCACGGGGTGTGGCATCCTAGGTTATGTCTCTGTAAAATGCGTCCAGCCAGTTCTTAGTATTCCTTGACCCTCATACCAGAAAGCAGAAAGTAATGAAAGGAAAAGTGGTTCCTTTGGTTAAAAAGTGTAGTTTCTCTTTCTTTCTGGGATGAATTTGTAATTTAAATTTGTGAGGCCTACCGTGCCTAGTCACAGTAACAAGTTTTCAGTAGTAAGGTATCTTTGATAGATCAGCACTTCTGTCTCAGTAGGTCAGCAGGAACAACAACAAAAAAATTGTGCCAGGCACATTTCTTGCATTTTAAGACGGACCATAGGCTATTACTACCTGGGATGTGTGTTTCCATATTCACTGCTTTGTTAGTATTTACTTGAGTTTAGCTTACTTGTACAAATCTGCATTTCATACAAAACAAATTGAATGTAATTACTCTCCTCAGGCATTTAAATACATCAAGCCTTTTGTGTGATTGCCAACTGAAATGGCTCCCACAGTGGGTGGCGGAAAACAACTTCCAGAGCTTTGTGAACGCCAGTTGTGCCCATCCTCAGCTGCTGAAGGGAAGGAGCATTTTCACTGTCAGCCCCGACGGCTTTGTGTGTGGTGAGTGTAGCTGTCTCCCTGGCCTTTTATTCTTTCTTCCTTTTCTTTCTCCCATCTGTCCCAATAATGGATGTGAATAAATTTATGCTCTTTTAATAAAGCTTTTGTTTCTGCTAAGGTAGATGAAAATGAATCTATAGTTGGCTTATTTTAACTTTACAGATGAGAGGGAGAGTTTTCGTTGTCTTCGTTTTGGCATTAGGGTGGTTTGGTGGAAAGAGAATGACGTTGGATCTCTGGGGAATTAAAGGATCTAGCACCAGCCCTCCCACTTAACTTTAAATTCCCTAAATCTCCGTCTCTGCCTGTATGAAATGGGAACTCTGCTCTCAGCTCTTCCCAACTCCAGGGCTCACTGAGAGACTCTCGTGAGCTCTGTGACGAGACTGAACTGAAAGCCTTGTGCAAACGCTGTTTATGTGGAGTAGAAAGAGAAGATTATTAGTTAGTGATTTATAGGCTGCTAAAATTTTTACTATTGGTGGGTAAAGCATTTCAAGTAATGAAAGTTTGAATTTATTATAAATAAATTTATGGTCTCTTATTTTAGCATCTAAGCATTTCATCATTAGACATCCACTTATCCAAATGTCACCTGGCTAGTTAGCAAATCTGGATCAGAAAGCCAAGTTTTTATCTTTTTGATACCGTCTGCTGTCTGCTACACTGTACTGTTTACTATTCATTGCCATGGAGACCTTTGCAAAACTAAATGGGTGTATAGAACATGAAGTCAGCTTTTGCTTAAATTTTAGCATGTGCACTAAGATATTACAGAAGCTAATTTCACATTGGCCTTTAAAATTTTATTTAAAAATGTTTTCCCTAAGATTGGTTAGATAAGTATAAGAAATATATATATATATATTTTTTTTAGGTTACAGCATGAAACGGTGCCCAGAGTTTATGCAAATAAAACCTTTGATACAGCTCTTGGATCTAAATAAGCTTTTGGCATTTACCTGTAAGGACCTGAGTTATTTTCACAGTTCTCTGTTTCCAAGATATGAACTCTTCATTATTTTCAGACAAACAGGGTGGGGCAAAAGTAGGTGTACATTTGTTCATGTGGGAAATAGTACAGTAATAAATAATATAAGAACAAACTCCGTGTTTCACAATATCACAGCTGTACACCTACTTTTGCCTACCCCTGTATATGCAGCATCCATAATATCGCATCCCTCCGTCGTAGAGCACAGACACTGATTTAGCAGGGGAGAATTCTGCGATCATCATACAAAAGAATAAACTGTAACATGCAGGCACGACATGGGAAATCAGTGGCATTGGAGTTATCAGAGCATCCCTCACATCCCGTTCTCTCTCTCTCTCTCTCTCTCTCTCTCTCTCTCTCTCTCACACACACACACACACACACACACACATACACACACACACTATTTTTGCAGTACTCTTTTCAGAACCCAAATAAGACATTTGGTAGATCTAAGATGTTTCCTTTTGGGTTTAGACCATCTCTGAGAAACTGAAGTTCAAAAAGGTAACTTTTCCGAAAAGTAACAGAGAACTAAAAATAACTGCTTGCAATGAAAGAGTTGCTTAGCTCTAATTACAATGTAGCTCTCACGGGGCAGCACGCAGCAGCAGGATGGATGGTCCACTCTCAGCTGCAGGCCACACCAGGCTCTCACAGTGCGCTGCGGAGGCTTTTTCTTTCACGACAGGGCTGTTTTTTTCTGCTCTACCTACAAATTATTGCATGTTAATATGGGTTCTGTTTTTGCTAAATGGGGTGTTAATTGCTGTCTTTAGTGATATTGATTATCATTATTGATGTTTGATTTTTTAATTTTGCTGCTCCTTTGTATTTGAAGAACAGAGAGAATTGCAGTTCCAGATAGTGTTTGTAGGTGGTCTGTGAGTTTCTTAACTGATTTTTTCCCCTTGTATTTATATTTTAAAAAGCACAGGGGGTCTGGGATATACCATATTCCAAAATAACAGTCTTCTCTCAGTTAATGATGGATAAATAGCTCTCCATCTCTACTTGAAGTGAATGAATTCCTTTATAAACACTCTCCCAGGCTATCGTTTCAACACTGGGGCTGCTAGTCCATCTGGGAAACATACACAAAGGGTAAAACCTAAGCCCCTGTTTGTTTTGAGTTTCCTGGTGTTCACATCTGAGTAGCGTTTGGGCTCTCAAGCCTTAAAATCATTCTGTTTCCTCCTCTCCATTTTGAACAGATGATTTCCCTAAACCCCAGATCACGGTTCAGCCAGAAACACAATCAGCAATAAAAGGTTCCAATTTGAGCTTCATCTGCTCGGCTGCCAGCAGCAGCGATTCCCCCATGACTTTCGCTTGGAAGAAAGACAACGAGCTGCTGCACGACGCCGAGATGGAGAATTACGCACACCTGCGGGCCCAGGGCGGCGAGGTGATGGAGTACACCACCATCCTGCGGCTGCGCAACGTGGAATTCGCCAGCGAAGGGAAATACCAGTGTGTCATCTCCAACCACTTTGGTTCCTCCTACTCCGTCAAAGCCAAGCTGACAGTGAACAGTACGTGATCTGACTTTGCCTTTGGCACTTCAAAGCTCCCTTTAGAAACAGAAAGCACCTGGTTTCTTCTTCCTCTTATTCCTGCTCCTGTCCTCTGCTTTCATAGTTCTCCACCAACCCTTTTTTCCCCCACCTCATGCCACCACATTCAGATTCTTGGTTATTTGTATCTGATCAAGCATTTTTTGCATCAACCCCATACACAGGATGGTGGGTACTCAGAGATGACCCAGACATTTTAAGCTCTTTGGGAGTTCACACTGTGCTAATTTGACGTGGGAGGCCATGAGTACAGTGTTAAAGCACACCGCCTGTGTTGCAGAGATCTTGGTGTGAATCCTGCCACTTCTGCTTATAGCTGTGTGACTCTGAGCCAGTTATTTCATCTCTCTGTGCCTCCATTTGTATATCTGTCAATGAGAATAGCACCTACCTTATAGAGGTATGATCATCATTAAATAAAATTTGTGTAAAGCACTTAGCAGAATGCCCAGAATACAGTCAGCACTAAGCAATGCAGTAAGTTTTAGCTGCTGTTAATAAAAGACATGTATCATCATTGGCTCTGCAGGGCAGTTACACAGTTCTACAGGAGGATCGTTGCCACTTGTCGTATGATCATTGTTATCTTCCATGGGAAAAGGTTGTGTATATGATTCATTAATGCATCAGATAACTGATTGCTGAGGCCTGCCTGACACGGAACAGCTTTGAGTTTAAAGTATAGGACAAAACATATTTAAAGTCATAGAGTACTAGAGCCAGGAGGGATTTAAAACAAAAGGTGGACTGGTCAGGTCACAAAGATACAAATCGATTTGCCCAAGATCTCGCAAGTAATCGCTGGGGACCCTGGAAAGTAGCAAGAAGACCCTCAGCCCAAGATCAGGTGACCTGTGTTTCATCCCGACTCTGTCATTTCTGTAACCTTGAGGGAGCCACTTAATCTTTCCTCGCAGCCTTAGATTCCTTGTCTTGTAATTAGAAATAACCCCCGTCTCACCTATGTCAGTGTCACCTGTGTCAGAAAAAAGAATGAAAATTAATGTCTAAAACCCCACAGCACTAATGCCCACATGGTTTTTCTGGTCTCAGTGCTCCCTTCTTTCACCAAGACCCCCATGGACCTCACCATCCGCGCGGGGGCCATGGCGCGCTTGGAGTGTGCTGCCCTGGGCCACCCGGCCCCACAGATAGCCTGGCAGAAGGACGGGGGCACCGACTTCCCTGCCGCGAGGGAGAGACGTATGCACGTGATGCCTGAGGATGACGTGTTCTTTATCGTGGATGTGAAGATAGAGGACATTGGAGTGTACAGCTGCACCGCTCAAAACAGCGCAGGAAGCATTTCTGCAAATGCAACCCTGACTGTCCTGGGTAAGTGGGCATTTACCCTGAGATGTAAAGTAGCCATAAAGATGCTAGCTCACCCAAGTCCCTCGGCTGGGAGGGTGAGAGATGGCCCAGAGGACTTGGCCCTTTCCTGGGAAGAACTGATGGCTCCACAGAGGCTTTGAAGTCAGGAGTGTGTCCGCCTTCCTGTCTGTGGCTGGTGAGATGGATCCACTCCCTCTTCCAAGGAGAGGGGAAGTGCTTTCACTTTTTTGCAGGGTCCACTCTCCCCATCATGCGGTCTCCACTGAGATCTTATTTTTCTTAAAGATTTTATTTATCTATTTTTAGAGAGAGGGGAAGGGAAGGAGAAAGAGAGGGAGAGAAACATCAATGCGTGGTTGCCTCTCATGTTCCCCCTACTGGAGACCTGGCCTGCAACCCAGGCATGTGCCCTGACTGGAAATTGAACCAGCAACCCTTAGGTTCACAGCCCCATGCTCAATCCACTGAGCCACACCAACCAGGGCTCCACCAATATCTTAACACTATAAAGAAAAAAGATAATAAAGATATGAACACATTGGGAGGGACCTCTTGTCTTTTCTTGGCTTACCCTAGCGTTCTGAAAATCGGAGTTCCTTTCTTATCTTTGACCGAAACAAATGCTTTTTAAAAACATGAACATGTTAATCACATGTGTACCTTTAAAGGAATTAAAGTAACCTGCTAACACCAAATAACAAAAATAAATCATTTTCAGAATTTTAATATAGGACTGGACACTTGGCACTAGAAAGTTCCTCTTTAAAAATTGTGATGTTCTGATTCTTTAATGCATCCACACACTCTTGTGCTTGGCATTATTTTCGTACATATTTTTGTTTCTGAAAAATGTCTAAAATGTTCAACTTTGCCCCCCTCTCCCACATTCCCCATCCCTGTCAGCAGTGAGGGAGGTAGAGATTATAAAATCATAAATGTTACTTTAACTGCTGTTAAGACTCAGTGACAGCTGAACAGTGAAATGAAATCCCCAGTGTTGTGTAGTTGTGTGTATTTAGACTCTTAAAGCAGCATGCATGGTAACTTGAGGGAGAATAAAATTTTACCTTGCAATTTGAATAAATTTAAGCCCTGGGTCTACTGCAAAATGTAATTTCATTTAAGAGATAAAAGCGTAACTTCTCATTCCAGAAACGCCATCATTCTTGCGGCCCCTGTTGGACCGAACTGTAACCAAGGGAGAAACAGCCGTTCTGCAGTGCATTGCTGGAGGTAGCCCTCCTCCCAAGTTGAACTGGACCAAGGACGACAGCCCTTTGGTGGTCACTGAAAGGCACTTTTTCGCAGCAGGCAACCAGCTGCTGATCATTGTGGACTCAGATGTCAGCGATGCTGGGAAGTACACGTGTGAAATGTCCAACACCCTCGGCACTGAGCGAGGCCACGTGCGCCTCAGTGTGATCCCTACTCCGACCTGTGACTCCCCTCAGATGACCGCCTCGTCGTTCGATGATGACGGGTGGGCCACCGTGGGCATCGTGATCATAGCAGTGGTCTGCTGTGTGGTGGGCACGTCGCTGGTGTGGGTGGTCATCATATACCACACAAGGCGGAGGAACGAAGATTGCAGCATTACCAACACAGGTGCGCAGACAGAGGCCTGGCGTGGGTGCAGCCAGTGCGCGCGCGCGCGCGCGCGTGTGTGTGTGTGTGTGTGTGTGTGTGTGTGTGTGAGAGAGAGAGAGAGAGAGAGATCCCGTGGGAATTCTCTCCTGCAGCATGTGTCCTGCAGTCTGAGGCCACGTCAGAAGGGTGACTCATTTGTTTCGAGCTGCAGAAATATGGTTAGCTAAAAATAACGCCCTGGCTCAAAATACAGCCGATGTTTAAAGATTAGTACTTTTTGTTAAAACCTCATCAGAATATCCTGTTGGCTGTGAGATCCAGTGGAAACCAGACTAAGTCCTTCGCAAGACAGCAGTGGAGAACCAGGAGCGGCCCTTCGGTTACAAGGTTTACACTCTGCTGTAGGTTTCCGTCTTGCCGCGTGTGCGGAGGAATCTAGGGAGGACAGTAATTGTTCGTGGGAGACACCTGCGCGCACACTCCCACATTGGTGAATAACACTAAGTCAGGACTACAGCAGAGATCAAGATTGATTCAAGAGCTTAGATACTATCCCGTGAAAATTCTTAAGCCTTTCTTTTTAACGTGTTGTCTTTGAACTGTGGGAGGGGCATCCCATAGGTGATAAAGTAGAAAATCGGCTCAGGCTGCTCAGAACCACAGAGCCCTAACTCGCCTGCCTGAGTACCACACAGTCCAGATGGTTTTGCAGGGGCAGATCAATTTGATTGAAAGAAACCCAAACAGTGTGTACTGTGCATCAGGGAAGCCCAGGGGGCACTTGTGAGGCTTCTCGGTTAATGGAGTGCTGCTGTTGTGCTGTAGATGAGACCAACCTGCCAGCAGATATCCCCAGTTACCTGTCGTCTCAGGGAACCCTGGCCGACAGACAGGATGGGTACGTGTCCTCAGAAAGCGGAAGCCACCACCAGTTCGTCACTTCTTCAGGGGGCGGATTTTTCTTACCACAACATGACGGTAATGGTGAGTGTGTAAAACGAGCATGGGCTGTAGTTGTTTTGAAATCTGATGGAAGGCTCAAATATAATAGAATTATAATTGAGCCTTAGGACCTGGCCTAAGATCCTTGGCAAAGCTAATATTAAATAAATTTTTCTTAAATGCTAGGAAAATCTTCATTTCTGACAATAAAAGAAGTAGGTTAAGTAAAATTTAATTCCTCCATGCAATGTAAATATTTTCTTTACATTGTAAATATTCTTTGCCCCTGAATGTTCTACCTTGTAGAAGACCATCCTGCATGGTGTGGGCCCAGCTCCCACTCAGAGATGCACAGGACCCACGTCCGTGGATAGGTTCTCCTGTGGGGAATCAGGCCTGCATTGTACCTAAGCCACATTGAGACTTGATTTTTGCTAAAATTCCCTCACCCTGAATTGAGACAGCAAACATTTACTGCATATCTTTAAAGTAACTTCCTAAAATCCATGCTAAGCCTTCCAAGGAGAAGTATAACCAGTTCAACCACTTTTCCCTTTGCATTTGCAAATATCCTTCTTCTGTGATGTGATTAGCAGCATCCTCTCCTTTGTTTTCTGTAAAAGGTAACCACCTAAAGTGAACCTGTGCATAGTAAATGAGAACCACCCTCAATGTAATGTGCCCAGAAAAGCAATCAAAGCCTGTCAAGGCAAGGGTCAGGGCACTCTCCGCTTGAGAGAGCAGCCCTGCTGTCCCTTTTCCTCCACAGGACTCGGTAGTCCGTGTGAATCTGCCTCATTTCATCCATAATGCCACCGACCCCACGAGCTGGGGTCCACATCGCTACCTTATTAAATCAGAGTGACTAGTTTCATGCATGTTCTGAAAAATCAAATGATTTAAGAAGCATTTTATTAGGAATATCTAACTCTGACTCTTGCTTTAAGAACTGTATAGTTTTAAGAATCATAATGGAGACAGCATGAATAAGAGCACAGGCTTGGTTTAAGAACCACTTCTGACACTCGTGGTGTATCTTTGGGCAATTGTAGTACTTTCCTGTTAGGCTGTGAAAATTAAACAAAATGGTAATGAAAAACTACATGTTGCTTGGCACACATTAAGGGCTCATCAGGTGGGGGCTTTTGACATTATTTTCAAACATTTTGTCATCTTTTCCCACAAGCATCCCTTGAGTGTCTGCTTTGTGATGGACTCCATACTTGGGAGAGAAGAAAAGATGTTTTCGGTTTTTACAGTTTAGTCAGTGGTAAGAGAAGATTCAACTAATGATTACCAAGTGCTTGATAAGGCAGTGGTAGAGGATGTATAGGTAGAAGACTTGAGCTCTTACGTGGATGTTCTCCTTCACTCATTTGATTGCAAAGAGCAGAGGCCCAAGCGTGCTGAAATGCTTCAGGGTTTACTGAAAAGACCCTCATGAAAGTGTGAAGGGACAGAACTGGAGCGTACTGGTGCCGCCTCACCTGGACCTGGGGGCTGGAGGCTGGTCTGCGCTGAGAGCAGCTCCAGAGGTCACCAGCTTTGCTGGGTCCTCATTCTGCATGTTTGCTCTGACACCAGCCACCCTCTATCCATCCCGTCCTGCTTCCCAGCCGTGTGGCTCACTCAGCGCAGCATCTCGAACACTCGCGATCTCACTGCTGTGCCCACTACTAACTGGCATATCGTGTCTGGGCTGTTTAGCTCAAATACTCAGGATAGGAGTTGCTGTGGGCTGAGCCCCTCTTTGCTCTCAGCATTAAGAGGTCGTTGGGTGGGTGCCAGCCTGTGGTCCTGGTCATCTGTGACTTTGCAGAGGAAGGGATGGTGGCTGATGGTGTCCTGTGGTTCAGCTGACAGCGCTTTGCCACTGTATCGACACAACTCAGTTTCTCTTGCCGGTGGGTGAGGCCAGCAAACAGGCCGACACGTGTAGTACAGTGCTTAGTTAAGTCCTCTGTTGGTTAGATGTCACAGGTTTACTCAGTCCATAGACTTCAATAAATTTTGTAAAAACCTCGAATTTCTGCAATTTTTTTCTTTATGTGTTACTCTATACAAAGTTTTCATCTATAAAAATGGAAAATGCCAAAAGTAAAGAGAATGCAGAATGGTGCTTGAGTAAGATTGGTTCGGTGACTAAGATATCTGTTTTAAAGGGACATGCCACGTCGACAACAGCAGCGAAGCTGATATGGAAGCTGCCACAGATCCATTCCTCTGTCCCTTTCTGGGGTCCCCAGGCCCTGTGTGTTTGAAGGGGAATGTGTATGGCCCAGATCCTTTTGAAGCCTATCATACAGGTATGTGGCTTTCTTATCTGCGTTCTGTTTCCTGAAAGATTCCTGGAAGTGCTAACTCTGTCTCCTTCTGATGTTGTCCCCAAACGGAAGGTTGTGGTCCGGACCCTAGAACTGCTCTGATGGACCCCTGTGAGGCCGGCTACATAAAGAAGAAGGAGTGCTACCCATGTCTTCACCCTGCGGAAGAATCCTGTGAACAGAGTGTCAGTGATGTAGGATGGCCATCGCACGCAAGGAAGTTAATCAGTTCCACTTATTCTCAAAATGAAGGACCTGGAATGAAAAATGTGTGTCTGAAGTCCTCTTTAGATTTTGGGCCAAGTTCAGAGCCAGCATTGGTTACTTTGAGTAACTCGTTCATGGGTAAGTTCATTTAATGATGCGATACCTCGACTCGGGACCCATATTCCACGTTGCGTGTGGGAGAGAGTGAGAGCTTCAAATGCTGAACTGGTGGAAAGAGTTCGGTTTTTCTAGTGATTCTGTCATGCCATTCTATTAGTTAGTATATACGTTTCTGAAAGCAAAGTCAGATTTGAGGGGTTTTACTTGACTATGTATTTGATCCATAACTAAACCTGAGGAGCTTTCGGGTTGCACTGTGTGTGGCATCATCTCGAACACGAGAGTGTTGGGAGTGACTGAGGAGCTCAGTTCGTCAGCCATGTGGAAAAAGTGGTTTTGGGCTCCGGCAGCCTTTGGGGTGGGGTTGTGTGCACTGCATGCTTGTGGTTTGGAATGTCTGGTGGTTTATAATGAAACCCACAGTCGAAGGGTAGACAGCGTCCTACCTGGCAGCAGCTCCCTGCTCGCCAGCCAGCCTGGACTACCTTTGGCAAGGACACCGGCAGAGCCCTGAAGCCCACGGCAGCAGCGGCGGACACTGCCTGGCACCAAGACCCATTTGTGGACTTTTTCAATCTAGTGCCTGGGGCCAGGGAGGTGGGAGAACTGAGATCATCTGCACACCGAGTGCAGATAGGGGAAAAATAAACCGCCATTTGTCTTGTCTAAGAAATAGAATTTTAAAATATTTCACCCAGCTATTAAGAAATTTTGTGTTCTGTCATAGTATAATTACTTACATTCCTGTTTTGAAAAAAATGAAAATAATCCCTTTTATACAACTGAGGCAAGAATTTGAGTCAGCCCAATAATATTTTGCCACTAAAAAAAGAACATGACATAAGAATTATTTCAAAAGTGCCTTCTTCATTCAGGCATAGTTTACTTGTACGTTACTGTCTAAATGCCCTTCATGGAGACTGTGGGCTCTTACGTCCTAAGGTGAGGTTTTGAGGAAACACAGGTGGGGGACCTTCGCTGCTCAGTGACGAAGAGGACTGCGGGTCCTGGGAAGTGGAAGGCAGCAGATGCGTGTATGTAGTGGGTGTGTGCAAGAGGGACATGAGAGTCCTCAGCTCCGTTCTGCACGTTCTGTCGCCCCAGCACAGGCACACGTACCGCGAGTACCATCACGTGGACTTGCAGAAGATGTTTGTTTGTGTTCACGGGATACGGTGCTGCAATTGAAATGCTTTTTAGTGGATCCCATGTTAGCAAAAGGAGTCATGTGCTCAAGAGGTTTCTTTCTTTCAGGAACGTTTGGAAAGCCTCTGAGGAGACCTCACCTGGATGCCTTTTCGGGCTTTGGACAGCCATCGGATGGCCAGCCAAGAGCCTTTCACTTGAAAGCACATTCTTCCCCAGACTTGGACTCTGAGTCAGAAGAAGATGGGAAAGAAAGGACAGATTTTCAGCAAGAGAATCACACATGTACCTATAAACAGACCTTAGAAAACCATAGGACTCCAAATTTTCAGCCTTATGACTTGCACACATAGACTGAAGGTGGCCCAAGAGTTCCGACATACTACCTCACGTGGACTTTTATTTAAAAGAGAGAGAATCCTATGTTTTTAAATGGAGTTATGAATTTTAAAAGGATAAAATGTCTTATTTATACAGATGGACCAAAATTTCCAAAATTTATACAAATTTTATACTGGGAGTAACTTTCACATAAGAATTTCTTTTTAAACTATTTTATAACTTTGTTTTATGCAAAAAAATCTTGTGTAAATTAAGGGTATAAGTCCATTACTATTTTATGTATTTTTATAATGCCAGATTTCTTTTTATTGAAAATGAGTACTAAAGCATTTTAAATAATACCTGTCTTGTACTTTTTTTGCATAGAGTTCACTTCATTTTATTTTGCACATTTAATAAAATGTATCATTTTGAACCCATGCCCCATCTATACAATACCATTTTTATTGTTTTCAACCCTGTGAAGGCTTAATGATTACACATTATCATGTCTCAAGCCGGTGAAAATTATATGCAGCACATAAAAGTGTGAGCAAAAAATGACCATTCTGCCTACCTCCCAGGACTGTAATACAGATGCACATCAGATTCGTGTATGTGAAAGCATAGCAAAGGAGAAGGAGCTACAGAGATTTGAGATACATTAGTTTCTAACCCCTCAAACAAAAGATTTGTTGTAGTCTGGTGTAATATAGTTCAGCCACCATTGCTTAAGTCACTGCTTCACGCCATGATTCCTTAATTATAATAATGCTTCATGTGGTCTAATGCTTTGTGCTTTTCCAAATAGTTTCACATTCACCATCCCTTTAATTATACCGAGGGTGGTTTTTGCACATTTCTGTAGTTAAAACAGCTATAGTAGGTGCAGATTTTCATCCAGTGTTCCAGGTTATAATAGGATGCTAGGAGAATTCTTTGCTGTTATTGATTTTCTGCTGGATGAATAGTTTTTGTAAAAAAAGGTATGCTAAGCTGACTTGCAACATTCATTAATAATTAAAATACTTTTCTAATTTGGTTATCATAGCTCTACTTGGTAAAAACTGAGTATCAAATCTGTTACTTGAACACAAACTATTTAAAATATTTGTTTTAAACAGAAATTAAGTGACACAGTTTGAAGTAATTGAATAAAAAAACTTAAGATTAGTAATTCAGATGAAGAAACTGGATTTCTTTTTTTTTTCCCAGGAAATCCTTGTTTACCTCTGTAGTTTAAAAAGAACCCTCTTGTCCAAGATCAATTAAGTTGGTGTGGAAGGAGCTGATGTAGCACATTGGGCTTTAAAAACCTAACCAGCTGGAAGTGTGACTGTGTGTCACAGTCAGCTCTTCAAACTAGATTGCAAACCACTACGAGAAGAGCAGGTTCTCCTCTGAGGAGATGTTGAGGTGTAGTTTTCCTGCATAGTGAGTTTAGAGCTTTGCTATTTGTGAGCCAGAGCCTGGAACCCAGAATGCAGTAAGATTTTCCTCTAATTGAGACACCGAGTGGAAGGCAGGAAGTTACTTGCCCTTGGACCACCAGTGACTAAGTGCGGAGAAGTGATTTCGGATGCTTCACCTTTATCACGTTGCCAGATTTTCCAGTCTTGTTGATTTGTCTTCATTATTGCCAGATGTGATGCAGCCATTGCTAGGGGCTTCTTCAATAATTATGAACTGACTTAAAGGATTTCATTTTTCCAGACTTAAGAACAAAGGTTTAAATCACTAATGCCTGAAATTCAAAATGTAGATTCATTGTACATCAATATGATTATTCCCTTTTACTTTGCTTGTGTGCTGAAATTCATGCATTGTGTATAATCTTAGCTGTCTGGAGGAATGGGAAGAGCTCAGTTTCATTTGGACATTCGCAGGAAAAGGATGTGCATAATTTGAGACTCCATATTGAATTAACAAAACGAGTCTAGTAGGTATCAAGAGATCCTAAAATAACATAGACTTTAAAAAAACTAATGTAAATAAATATCAAATCGCGTGGCTTATTTATGAGGAGGAATGTTTAATATTTTCAGTTTAATTTTTCTATACATGTATAACATATCCTAATAGATGTTCACACAACTTTTGTATTTTTTCTTTCACTATTGACATTAATGATAAGATAATTACTATGTATAATCTTAACTGTTTTTTTAAGATATTGGGGGAAAATATTCCTTACTTGTGGCAGGCAATACTTTATAAAAATTAAAGATCTGTAGAACACTTACAATTTATTTTCAGTGTCCTTGCAGAAAGAAACTGACAGTTATTTCTCAGAATAAAGCTAATGGTACTATTTTTTAAAATTTGATAGGAAAAGAAACATGATTTGATATTTGTAAACACTTGAGAGGCTTCAGTCCTTCTGATTTAATGTGATAGGAAGTAATTCATAACCAATATTACAATAGATATGCTATAATGGTATTTTTCGAAGACAATGAGAACCAAATGTTTTTGCAAAATGCCTGCTCTGTCCCTCCCACCCTTGGAATGAATCTGCAGTGATTGGACTTGTGTAATAGGATAATTTATTTTTTTAACTTTTATTTTAGTTTTAATTAAATTTATTGGGGTGACATTGGTTAATAAAATTATATTGGTTCAAGTGTACATTTCTATGATACATGATCTGTATGCCCAATGTGTGCCCACCACCCAAAGTCAAATCATCTTCCATCACCATAAATTTGGCCCCCTTTACCGTTACTACTCCCTCACCCACCGTCCCTTTGGTAACCACCATACTTAGTTGTATATTTTGCATCGGTGACATGAATTGAGTAAAATGATCTTTGTCCTAATTATCAGTAGGCTAGGAAACAGATTCCTAGATAAATACTTAATAATACAATGTGTTAAATGCTAGAGCGTAGTAGGACCCCTGTAACTGGCACTAATTTTGACTCTAATTCTACCAGAACTATCTGGAATTGTGAAATGTACCTCACTCAGGATGTCCTAGAACATGCTGATTATCTGCTCCTGTTCTAGCGCTCTCTTCCTTGCTCAGTTACCATTAATCACCATTCTGTTGAGTGTGCATCTGAATTAAGTCAAGGTTGTTTATGGCTTTCCTCACCACAACCAAGTTCAGGCCCTTATCTGTCCCTTGTATTTCTCTCACCCTCATCCTCTCCTTATTTCACTGTTACTAGAATTGTTTTTCTAAAAGAGATCTACATTGGTCACTTCCTGTTTAAAAACCTTCAACAGCTAAGTCTTACAGTAAAGGAGACTTTTCACACATTGATTCCAGTCCAGCCTTCAAACCATACCCCTTCCTCAGCCCCAGTCCCAACTTTTTAACAGGATAATACAACAGCCCTTGACCAGCCTATGGACACCTCCATGGCTTGGCTTTGACATATGTGCAGCTCAGAGTTGGAATTTGGTAGCAACATACTGTTGGCTCTCATTGCGCATGGTTTCTCACTTCTGGTTCAGCAAACATTTATTGAGTGACTACTATGATAGGTGCTGTCTTATAGACTATTCAAACAAATATTCTTCCCCCCAAGAAGCTCCTAGACGAATGACAAAGTTACTTTCCTGAGCTGCTCTCCCATTTTCCCTCATCTAATAGAATCTACTCTTTCAAAACCAAACCTTTCCTTTATTACCCATAGAACTGTATATGAATCAAACGTGAGAAAAATCACAAGGAAGCCATTAGTTACAAAACTAGCTGCAATGTTATTGTATGTTACTGTCTAAAAACAGTTACCTGTGTGTCAATAATACAGTTTCTAGGAAGAATAAGGAAGTAAAAAAAATCAGTTTTTTATCAAAACAATCACCAGATGATTTGGTCTAACTCTCAGCAAGAAAATCAACTCATGTTCAGTTTACTAAAGCAAAATAGGCGGCTAAGGGTGTCAACAGGTTTTTTTTCTTTCTGTAGCAACTGGACATATGATTGCCCAGCTACTATATACATCTCAACCACCTTGCAGTTAGGCAGTAACCATGTGACCCTCTTTCCTAGTGGAATGTGAATAGTTGTTAGGGACCATTTTCAGTGCCGCAAAACCACACACCGTTTTCCTGCAGCTGTCTCATTAGAAAGCATGACCCAGAGCTAAATTCAAGGAAGGGTATCTGAGTGACTTTATGGAATATGGTACCTCCAGACCAACCTGGAATAGTTCCTTTGAAGCCTTGCATAATCGAGAAATAGTTTATTGCAAGACTTCCGGTCAAATTGGTGGCATAAGCAGGCATGGCTTGCCTCTTCGCACAACCACATCAAAATTACAATTAAAATGTAGAACAACCATCTCTCAGAATCATCAGAAATCGCATTGAATGGAAGTTGGGCAACAACAGAATTAAAGAAACCACATCTAGACTGGTAGGAGGGGCGCAGATACAGAGTGGACTGGTGCCACACCCACATCTGGTGGATAAAAATTCAGGAGGGATATCTCACGAGTGAGGAGTCCCAGCCCCTTACCAGGGCCCCCAGCCCAGGGTTCCAATGCCAAGAAGATAAGTCCCCATAACTTCTAGCTGCAAAAACCAGCAGGGATTGAGTCAGTGAAGGAAACGTCTGGAGTCCCAAACAGTTCCTCTAAAAGAACCCACACATAGACTCACCTACTAGGATTCCCTTCCTCAGAGCTTCAGCACAGGGTGGCAGCTTGAAAGGCACCAGTGGCATACTGGTAGAGGCTTAGGTGCCAGGCATCAAGGAGAACAGAGGTCATCATCCCTTTTCTGGGCCTGCCCCACACATGGCCACAGAGCCAGCAAGCTGGTGTCATATCTGAGACTCCATCAACCTGGCTACCACTGTTGGACCTGCCTTGGGGATTCCCAGAGACTGCAGCACAACCAATTTATAGCCCACCCAAGCTGCTTTCCATGTGAATGGTTGGTCTTGGCTCATATTGCACAACTTCCTAAATCCTCTCAAACAAGCAACAACTGGCCTGAGTGAGCCCCAGGCCCAGCACCAGCAGCAGCCAGCCTAGATTCACAGCTTGGCTTTTCCTGGGAATCTCCAAACCCAACACAAGTAGCAACCATCTCAGATTGCTTTATAGCTCAGGCAGGGTGGCCCAGGGCAAAACACAGGTGGGGGCTGACCATGGCCTGCACCACCCAGTGGACAGCTACAGACCACATCAGAGCACCACCACCCTGCCCTGCACAGCTGATCCTCCATGGAGGGCAGAGGGTGGTGGTCAGTGGTTACAGCAAATCTTTGCAGCTGACTGGCCTGGGTAAATCCCTCCCATTTCTATGCCAACAGCAATTTTTCATTTATTTTCCTCTTGTGTTCTTTCTAGGCAAATAGTCAGTACTATTTGAATTCTCAATTCTTTAATTGTATTCTAGAACATCCTTCTTTAAAAGGCAAAGACTCTCACATCATACATGGTTGCTAATTGTTTCTGATTTTAACCATTTCTTGAGTTATGTCTACTAGCTGGCATTTCACAATTTACTTTTCTGAGTCTTTTTTTGTGCCTCTGAGAATCTTAAACAAAATTATTTCAAAATCACTTACAAATTGTTTTGTTATTTTTATATTTTCAAAACTGACACTATCTCTACTTGTTGATCGTGTTGATTGCCTATTTTAATCATAGTTTTGGTTATGTGCTTTGGAATTTTTGTTTTTAGGTTTATAATTTTTCTTTGCTTTTTTTGTGATCACATACCCTGGCATGGTGATTTTACGATTGCCTGGAGGCACTGCTAGACCCTTGGTCCCAGAGCAGGTTTTGTGTTAGAAGCTAGGGATGACTGGGGCACTTGAAAGATAAATTACAGGAGCTGGCAGGCAGCGTGGTTCAAGTCCAGGCTGCCTCCTTCAAGCACTACAAGTGCACAGATGACCAACACCTGAGCCCTGGTCAGTGGCCACTGCTGTTTCCATCGCATTCCACAGGTGCAAAGCCCTTCCCTGGTGTCGTGTCATGCAATGAGCCTGGCTTTGCACCCTTTGGCACCTGGTGAACTTTTGACTCCTGATCAAACTTCTGGTTCTGCCTGCTATTTTTCTGACTCAGAGCTTGATAGAACCATGGCTTTAGCTTGTTACTGCTCTGCATTGTTGTTCATTTGTTTGTTTGTTTTTGTTACATGCAGCTGTTCCATAGGTACGTTCATGTCATTTTTTCAGTGTGACTGTGCCATGTATGCATAACACACATACAGCCATACATGCACACATAGATGTTTATATTTGCTGGGTGAAGATGGAAGCAAGAAATCATAATGTCACCCTGACAGAAAAAGATCTTCTGAATGAAGCTGGAAGTGACTGTTAGGGAGGAAGCAAAGATACCAACGTTCCAGCTTTTGTGATTAGATGGATGGTTGCACAATTAACTGAGACACAGAACATAATAAGTTTGGTGAGAGAAGATAATAAATGTTATTTTCTATAATTTGAGGAACTTATTTAAAAACCAACTGGGAATTTCAATAGACTTACCACTCAGGAAAGTAAAAACTGCTCCTGATCAAGAGATGTGAATCATTAGCATGTACATTCAGCTAAGTCCTGAGAGGTTATGAGATGAAGAGAGTCTGTAGAGAGAGTAGATAAGAGAGCGGAAAGTATAGGGGACAAAAGATAAAGTGGAATTAGCAATGAAGCTTAAAAAGAGGACTATCACTTCTTGGCTGCATTAACATGATAGTCACGTAATTCGTCTCTTTGTTTCCAACCTTGCCCTCTCCGGTCTATTATTAATATAGTCCTTAGATGAACCTGTTAACGTGTGAGTCTTTCCTTTGATTAAAAACCCTCAATATCTGTGCCTGCCCAACTGAGAAAAAGCCCAAGTTCTTGCAATGGCCCTTAAGACCCCACGATCGTCAGACCCCTGTGCTGCCTCCTGTATCCTCTCCTAGTCTTCCCCCCCACCCCCCGGACCAGTCCCTCCCACTGCATGCTCCTGTTTCAAAGTCTTTCCCACTTGCAGTTTTCCTACCCTGTGTGGATGGCTCTGCCCCAGATATCAACACTGCCGGATCCCTCACTTTTTTCAGAACATTGCTCAAATGATTGAATTTCTGTGGCCATCCCATATAAAATTTTAGTCCCCACTCCTGTTGCTGCTAAGCACATTTCTTTGCTTTATTTTTCTTTATAGCATTGGCCACAGTGTAATATACCATATATGTAACTCATTTATTTTGCTAATTGTCCTCCATAATAAGTTCAATGAGGGCAGCAACTTGCTTTTATCGTGTTTGTCCTTGTATTCCCTGCAAGTGGAGCAATGCTTGACATATAAAAAGTGCTCAGTACCTGATTGTTCAATGAATGAATAAATAGCAGGCAATTAATACATTTTAAATCTCTTCTTTTGCTTTTTATTTTTCTTTCGCCTTTCTGGAAACTTTTTTTTTCAGGCTTCATTGCTAATTTCAGCCGCGAAGGCAATGAGGATTACAGCTGTTTATATATTTTGAATTTGGAATCAACAGGATTTGCTGGCAGATTGGATGTGGGGTCTGGAGATCAAGGAACACTGCCTTCCAGCTCTGCTGTGGCCAGGCTCACGGGGCCCCAGGCTCACTGTGCCCCAGGCTCTCCACTATCGCCAGGACCTCTGTTAACTAGCCAGTTCGTTGGGGGCAGTAGAAAGAAG